TGAACCTCTTAGAAAGTTAAGAACCGGTTCTCCCGAATAGGTTCGAACTGGCTGAATCCCACCACTGGTTCATGCAAACAAGCGAAGCATCCATGGAATGCAGGCAGCATGCAAAACCACCCACACACCCCTGTCCATTGAAAAACCTCTCTCCACAGAACCCGGTGCCCAAAAGATTGGGAGGGCCACTGCTGTAGACAATATAGAGAAAAGCCAAGGAATATTGCACAACCTGCTGCCGTCATTTTAGCAGACCAGACTACTATAGCAGTCATTCAATGAGCCTCTCATAGAATGACTGTGATTAAGTGTATCAGTGATTCAGTGTACATGCTCAGGACTCCAAAAATATTGCATGCATTATGATGACAACATTGTTAAGCAAGAATTAAATCACTGGCATTATCAATGGTTTAACGGCAGGTATTCCTCAACTTAGTACCCATTAGAAGTTATGGCAGACCCCCTCAAAAGGGACTTATGACTTGGTTTCAAAGTTCTGACATCGCCTCCCCTTCCTCGTCTTCTGATTGCATTTTGGACACTAGGCAAACAGCTCACATTTATGGTTGTTTGCAATGCTCCACAGTCACATGAGTACAATTTATGACTTTCTCTTTTTTTTGCCAGAAAGCAACGTTTACTTTCGGCTTCCAGTCAAAACAGGGAATGCTATTAATAACCATAGCATTCGCTTAATGCCCAGGAGTTTGCTTGACAACCAACCACAAAGAAGATCATAAAACCGGATCAAATCAAGTGAATGTCGACTTAAGACCTGGAATTGTTTCTATGGCTGTCTTGTTTAACTTCCATCCATTTAGCCACCATTTGAAGTTTCAACGGTCAGCTTGGTGACTGGCTTGCAATGACATTGCGGCATCCCATGGTCACATAATCACCACACGAAAACTTCACTGCCAGCTTTCAACAGGCAAAATCAATGAGGAAGCCAGCAAATGGAGGTGCGACTACCTGCAAGTTGCTTGCTTAACAGCAGCAATGTAAATTGCTAGAATGGCCATCATAATTCGCCACAATCACATAACATCGTGACATATGACATCAGTCAGCAATGGAGTTTCCGGTCCAATTATTGTTGGTAAATGAGGACTACCTGTTATTCACAGATACCCAATTAATGTTTAGCTCAAAAGTAGTTTCTTAAAAACTTTTTCCAGATTCCTGGTCTGAATCTGCTTGCACCAAAAAATTTCAGTGGTTTCCTGCTCTTTTAAATAAAACTTAATTGTATCACCAGAATTTAGCCTCTACTTTCATATTCTTCCCAAATTAATTGAAAATTGAAAAAGTAAGTGTGGTTCTACTCTTTCCCCTTTGAGCTTGAAAATATAGAAGAGGGGAATAGAGATGTTATTTATCTTTAACAAAACCCCTAGGTATAGCATCGAGATAGGAAATTTGCAGATTTAGGGACAATACTTAGTTAAAAACAGATAGCAAAGACAAACTGCAAAATCTAAGGTAGATATTTTTTAAAAAAATTGTATTACCTTTGACCTTTTCCTCCAATTGCTCTTTCAATTTTAGAACTTCTAAGTGCAATTCATTATTTTCACGTGTGAGCCTAGCATTTTCTTCTCGATAAGGTTCCAGAACAACATCAAAGTTACTGCATTCTTTTTCAATTTTTCCAGCAGATAACTTTGTACTCCGGAGGCTCTCAGTTGTATGAACAAGGTCACTAAAATTAATAAAACAAATAATCAAAATATGGAATATTGAAACTGTATTTATAATTTCCCATAAGTATTTTATTGAATCATCATAATAAATAAACATAATAAATAATAACCATATATTTTGATT